AAGTTTAATTTTTTAACAGGTGGTCTTTGAATGCTCGATTTCTTTTGTTGTTTTGAAGCTTCTGGTTCCTTATTAATGTCTTTTTCTTTCAGTTTATCCATTTATGCTAGTATTCCATAATACCCGTCTTGGAAAATGAATCTCTAAACTGATGGACAAAACATTGTCAGCTAAAAAACGATTACAGTATAACAAACTACAATTCATTTAGTGTGCGTTATGCTTAACATCAATGTTCAAGTCACGTGTGTATCAGTAGGTTAAAATGTTTAAAAACTTGCATGCAAAAATCTTGAAAATCACAAAACACACTTTGCTATGTAGCGAGTGGTACGACTAGAAAAAGCGGTCAACTTTCCCTGCACGGCATCTGAAGGGTGGCAATAATAAACAAATCTAACTTGTACATTCGATAATCTATAAATTCGCTTTACTTTTTTCGCTTAGGCAGCAGTGACAATATGCAGTATGTAAGCCCTATATATGTTTTCGCTGTTATCGAGTACGCAGAAGCTACTTTTACCGATTTTTACTCTTAATCGGAAACAAAAGATAAGGAAACTATTACTATTGTAAAATGTTATCTCCATATACTGTACTTATGTATCTATGACGTGTATTTCGCATTTTCGTTTTTTATATTAAGAGAAACTTTTTTGTATCTTAACAGAAAGTATTTAAGAGCAACGAACTATTTTTAAATTTTGTGAATTTTGTTTGTAAACAGTATTATGTTATCAAATACTCGACAACTATTTTGAAATATTTAAGTAATTTCAGGAGACACTCAGGATTTATCCTCCGGTTCCAGTCATAGTGAGAAGTAATCCATACGATTTGAAAGTGGGTATGTATCGCATTTTGAGAGTAAATAAGCTTCCTACTATGACAAAAATTTTATTGATAACAATTAAATTTTCTTTCAGGTGATTATATCTTGCCGGCAAAGTCGTCTCTTGCAGTAAACATTTATGGTATTCATCATAATCCAACGGTTTTTTTAAATCCCGAAGTGTTCGATCCAAATCGATTTCTACCAGAAAACTGCGAGAAACGTCACCCCTTTGCCTTTCTACCGTTCTCTGCCGGTCCACGTAATTGCATAGGTAGGTAATGTGATATGAGACAAAAGCCTCCTGTGTTTTTGACGTATTTACCTTTCTTCAGGTCAAAAATTCGCTATGATGGAGATGAAGACAGTTTTAGCCAATGTTCTTCGACATTTTCGAGTGAAGTCTTTGGACCATAGAGATAAGATTTTCGAATCTGCTGACGTCATTCTTCGTCCTAAATTCGGTATAAGAATGATTGTCGAAAAACGATAAAAGAAAGAAATATTTTCTTTCAGAAAGTATAAAAAAATCTATAAATTAACAAAACAGTTGTTCATAATACAATGTTTCATGTATATCATATTTTTACCTATATAATAATTCGCGCTTCAAAAGCGTAGACATGATCAGCCTGGCTAGAAAAGGTCAATGTTAGATAAAAGAAATAGAAGGCGACCTTCGAACATTGACACATACGTCTGATTTCTTTCAGCTTTTTTTTTTTTTTCAATATTCTTAAAACGTTTCTATACTACATTTGACATAAACAATTGAACTTTTTGCAATTTATATTACTGTGATTTGTTATGTATGAACGGTGAATGTCGTCTTCCATCTTAGTCATCTGACATAGATCCTTTCCGTTTAGATTGATTAATTAATGTCACTGTGTCGAAGGTAAAATTTATTACATTTCCTGTTGTAAAAGGGTTTTACTCAACTCTCGAACCGTGTTACAGTAAATCCGTGCTATAGAAGTGCCGTATTATACGAGGGTTACCTCATTACTGATATTAAATTTCGATGGCTACAATTAAAACAGAAATGTAGAAATTGAAGGGATTCATAAACTATATTTCGAGTGAGGTCAGATTCAATGAAAATTTTACTCCTTATTAGCATATATATTTTTTAAAAATTCGTCTCTACCCTTAAAATTTAAGTGTTTTGCCTTTTTATAGTAATTAATATTATAAAAAAAAATTTATGAAAAAATCCGATAAGAGATGGCGCCACACACTATTTATTTATTATAATTAATACTGTAATATAAATGTTATTCTTTAAATAAAATCTATTAACAGCGGAGATAGTTGTCAAATGTTGATGGATTTTTTTTAAATCGTCTACACAATTCAAAAGATCTTTTTCTTTTATTGTTGTACTTAATCTATATATATAAAAATGAATGTATTCTGTTTGTTTGTCTGTTCGTTTGTCTGTTCGTCCTTCATGCATTACCACACCGTTTATCCAATTGCCATGATACTTTGGGAAGTTGTTTAATATACTCCCGCAAAGGTTTGTGGCATAGTACGATTACCATAAAACTTTGGGAAGTTTTTTTAATACACTCTGGCATAGTACATTTATCCTACAATAGATGGCGCGCGTTTACACGTGTCCGATCTACTTCAAATTGTGAAGACCATTTCCCCCTCCAAAAAATATCTCTATATATGCATTTGTGAACTGTTATTTACGATATTTGTAATAATTTTTGTTTAATCACTTTATTTCAACTTTTTTTTGTTTTGCTAATTACGTATTCGCTCGAACTTTTTAAAACCTTAACTGTATCTCGAACAACGACCGAAGTTGTAGGAGGAAATTCGCCTATTTTACCGTTCTAGGGATCCCCCTTTTCCAAATTTTAATATCGACTCAAAATAATTTAAAAAGACAAATTACAATAAAACGGTTTATTATCCAACTATCAGAAATTTCACAACACGCTAAGGAAAAGAGGAAGGAGCAATTAAATAATTAAAATTGTAAAGGATTAAAAAATATATATAAAAATGGGGAATATCGCGCTTCCGACAATCGGTGAGAGTGTGTGGGCTAAATTTGGAGAATCCGTGCTTTTCGCATGTACAACTGTATGAGGACAGCTCGCGTCGGAAAACCTTCCGATTTATTCGTGTACACACCAGAGGGAAAAACAAAAAATATCTTGTATCCACGAGCACTCCAATAAATAAATAGAATTGAAACGACACTTTGAAATATTTTCTCGATGAAAATAAATAATAATAATAAGTTTCAATAAAAATGATAAAATGTAAGTTGAATTTTATTATAACAAGTTTGCTTGAATTTCGTTTCTTCTGAGATCGCAGCAATGCGCGACGGATAAGCTAGTTATCAATAAAAATTCAGACAATTTTTTATTTTTGAAAACTTCTACGAAATTAAAANCTAGGTATAGAATCTTATTAAGTGTGGCAGAAAAACTAAAAGCGAGAGAAGGTCTTTCAGACATCCAACAGCGAATCAAAAGGCAAACACTAATTGATTTGGCTGAAAAGCCAGCAATTGTTGAACTGTCACAGCCAACCTGTGATATGATAAATATAGATTCAAAGAAGATAATTTTGAAAAACAATTGGATAGAAGAGAAAACAGTCATCGAATCTCCACTATACATAATAAAGATGACAACGAAATAGACAAACACGTTGAGAAAGACTGCAATACAGTAGAGGATGTGGGGAGATTAAAGGTGAATGTATTCAAAGCCATTGACCATTATCCGAAGCACATCAGAAAAGCATGCAGAGTTGCTTCAAACATGCCAACTTCTCAAGCAAGTGTTGAGCGTCTATTTTCTGGATTAAGATTGCTTTTAAGTGATAATAGGTAATGAAGGATGATCTGCTATCTGCCATTTTATTTATTGAAATCAACGAGATTGTATGTTAATTTTTTAAATAATAAATTAGTTGTAAACAAACAAGTTTTTTATATGTACAGTACTTATATATCAAAGAAAAAATTAATGTAATTACTATAAGAATATTTTAACTGGAGCATGGAGCGGAGCACAGAGCGGAGCTGGAGCAAATACTTTGATGTCGGAGCGGAGCTGGAGCGGAGCAACTCAAAAAAATGGTCGCTCCAAAGCCCTGGTTTACACAGGTTTTACTCTATTTTATTTCATTAAATGTGTTTTTTGGAGAAGTCACATTTTTTTAAATTTATCACTTAAATAAATATTATTTAAAAAAATTATGGTTTAGTATAAAACATATAGTAATTCAAACTTTAACGAGTTGGTTTGATCAGACAGTATAAATTTGATTTGAAAAAAGGCACTATTATAATATTATTATTATTGCTACTGTACAGTTTGAGTTAAATTCTTATACTTTATAATCTTTTACTTTTATTTCATTTTAGTAACTAATTTTAAAAAACACAAGTTTCGTTTCAATTACAATATAAATTTTAAACATTATATTTTTATAGATTTAAATATAAATACAGTCACTAGAATCAATGATAATTTGCAAGCTTAGGCATTTAATAAGCTGTAACAAGATGAGTTGTAAGTATATTTTCTTTTATATCTATACATAATTGATATATTTTTAAAAAAATTTACAATATATAGTTTTTTTTATATGTCTCTATTTAATTGATATATTTTAATATAAATTAGATTTTCTACACTCAAAAATACTCAAATGGTAAGTGTTAAAGTTATATTTTATTAAAATTAATACTGTGTATTATAATATAGTTTCTGATATAGGAGTTATCATTGACTTTGAAGCTTTCACGATTCAAGATGAAAATCTTCCATTCAACACATTATGTAGACAAATTGGGTTAGCAGCAAGACATAAAAACGATTTTGGGAAGATAGATTTTTACAATCAATTTATTACTTTTGATAATTTATCACCACGAGATAAAAAATCTGTTACATTTGGAAATTTCTTACACGGCTGTATTTATCTTATTAAAAACATAATTTTGGATATTGGGAATGTCATAGTAAAGTATATGAAATTTTATTTAATTTATATAAAAAGTATGATATAATTTATTACAAGGGAGGACAAATTGAATTTAATTTTTTAAACTTAACCGAATCAATATATAATATAAAAATTCCATCATTTGACATTGAAAAGTTAGGCATGCCTAAATCCTCAAAAATTTACATGCCATGCCAATACCATACCAATTTTATTGCTCACTGGTCTCTTATAAATTTTATATGGATGAACATGGTAAATATATTTTTAATTATTATTACATAAAAATTAGTAAATATGATTACATTTATTTTTTAATTTGTATAGGTATATAATTTTTGTGCTCACTGTTTTCTGTGTTTTAATATTATGTAAATTTTTATTAAAAAAATAAAAAACAAGATTATATTTAAATAATTTTTCATTGAAGTACAACACTGATTATTGATAAACTAAATGAAAAACTGGAAAAGCTTAAATAAAACTAATTTAATCTATTAGTGTAAAAATTAAAAAAAAATTTCAAAAATAATTTTGTTTTGGTGTTATATTATTTCATACTATTAAACACACTATTAAACAATATATTAAACTTTGTTAAAATATTATTTCAAATTGTCGTGTTTTAATTTATTCGGATATTAGAAAATATATATAAATAATTCTTAATCACATCCGATATTAGAACAAATTGTAAAAAATTATTTTGTAATTATAATTTAATCGATAGTAATTTACTCAAAAAATTAATTTTGTGATATGAAATAATTCTATTCAACAAATTTTTATTTGCAATTTTAATTTGACATCTGAAATTAATTTTGTGATCTGAAATAATTTCATTCAATAAATTTTTATTTGCAATTTACTCAAGAAATTAATTTTGTGATTAGTGCTACTCAAACCACTACTACTTACGTCTATATGAATTTTCTGGTGCTTAATTAAGATGTGTTTACTTTTAAATTCTTTATTACAAATATTACATTTTTGAAAATGAACTTTCGAATGTTCTTCTAAAGAGTTTTTATTCTTGAATGACTTCTTACAAATATTGCATAAATACACATTTTCGTGTTTACTAAGACGATGTCTGGCTAAAGCAGTTGAATTAGAGTAACCTTTTTTACATATGTCACAAACGTACTTTTTTGTATGAATAGCTTTATGCTGTCGCAAAGAAGGTTTTTTTTTTTAAAATATTTGTTACACATATCACAAGAATATTTGTATTCATCGGTGTGTGTACGAATATGCACTTTTAATTCAGAACTGCGTTTAAAACTTTTATTACATACCTGACAAGTATGGTTAAATTCATCATTATGAACTACTTTATGACTTGCCAAATGCTTTTTTGTTTTAAAACGTTTGTTACATACCTGACAAACATAGTTACGTTCATCAGTATGAGTTTCGTAATGCATTTTTAAATTCTCTTTCCATTTAAAACTCTTATTGCAAATATCGCATTTATAAGGACTGTCTTCACTATGCATTGCTTCATGATGTAATAAATTGCATTTCCAATTAAATTCTTTTCCACATATTTCGCAAGCATAAGGTCTGTGTGTTCTCATGTGTCTTTCTAAACGACCCTTACCATATCGAACGCGCTTACCACAAATGTTGCAATACACGTTTTCCCGTTTGATATTACATTTTTTACCATGAATATATTTATGCTGCGACAAATAGTTTTTTGTTTTAAAATGTTTGTTACATATATCGCAAGAATATTTGTACTCATCGCTGTGTGTTTCAATATGCTGTTTTAAAACATAACTGCATTTAAAACTTTTATTACATATGTGACAAGTATAGTTAACTTTGTCAGTATGAGTTTCGCAATGGCTTTTTGCTTGGCATTTCCATTTAAAACCCTTATTACAAATGTCGCATTTAAAAGGTCGTTCTTCACTATGCCGTGCTCCATGACGTAACAACACGTATTTCCACTTAAATTCTTTTCCACATATTTTGCAGGCATGAGTTTTGTGTATTCTCTTGTGTATCTCTAAACGGCCCTTACCGTATGGAACGCGCTTACCACAAATGTTGCAATACACGTTTTTCCGCTTGATATTAGATTTTTTATTATGAATACGTTTATGTTGTCGCAAATACTGTTTTGTTTTAAAATATTTGTTACACGTATCACAAGAATATTTGTATTCATCGCTGTGTATATTATTAATGTGCTGTTTTAAACCAGAACTGCGTTTAAAACTTTTGTTACATATGTGACAAGTATGGTTACGTTCATCAGTATGAGTTACGTCATGGCTTTTTAGTTGGTGTTTCCATTTAAAACCCTTATTACAAATATCGCATTTGAAAGGCCGTTTTTCACCATGCGTTGCTTCATGATGTAACAATCTAAATTCACACTTAAATTCTTTTCCACATATCTTGCAAGTATGAATTTTACTATTTCTTGGAGATGAATTTACTCGATTTTCAGATGGCTGCAAACGTAAATTCCAATGAGACATTTCGTTTTCATTTCCAGTTTTGTGTTCTTTCGTGTGTCTTCGTAAAAGAAATTGCCACAAAAACTTCTTATTGCATATTGTGCAGCGAAATGGCTTTTTTCTAATATGACAGAACAGATGTGTTTGTAATATTCTCTTATTTGTGAAAGTCTGTTTACATAAATCACACGTAAATTCTTCTTTAGAATGAGATGCAAATATAATCCTGAAATATTTCCTTTTAATCTTTTCATGAATTTTATTGCATTTTCTACTCGAATAAACGCATTTCTTTGTTTTGATATTATAGTTATAATGCTGTTCCTTCTTCGAATTATGCTGAATATCGTATTTCTGAATTTGCTTTTCCTCTTCAACTGAAAGTTTAAAAAATAACATAATGAAGTACCTATTATATTTCAATAAACATAATATAGCTTCAATATTAAAACATTAGTGCAGTAGTTTCTTTATCGGACTTTTAAATGAGTGTGAAAAATTAAATTGTTTCATTTTATCTATTTTTATTTATTTTATTTATGTAGTTTGTTCCAGTGGTATTTATAGAAACGTAGAAGAAATCGTGTGCTATTAGAGAGGGAACGAAATCATTAGTGTAAAAGAAAAAGTACCACAGCAAAAGTCTATGGATTTCAAGCAGAGAGTAAAAGTTGGTGGATTCTTTAGATTTTTTGAATAAAAATACGATTATTTAAGCGTATGTCCAGTAGATCTGTACAATGTTTTTTAAGAATATTAGCAACGTGTTTTCTAACACGTTGCAAATATGCACTAATTTTTGTCATTAAATAAGCTATATTGCCCTCGTTTACTTCGTTTCAATAGATTTTCTTTATAATTTTAGCGGATTCGTGAACAAAGCAAGATAACACGAATCATTAGGGGAGACCGGGGCAACTTCGGCATGCGGGGCAAGTTTGTCAAGCNTTTACGCCAAAATTTTTCCAATAAAGAAAAGTCTTTTCTATGACGTCAAAGCAGACACGTGGTTTTTATTCTAACAATAGCGTCAACTTCACAATTGTGAAGATCTCGAAAAAACGAAAAATAAATGAAATACAGGAGTTTATTTAATCCGTTCGACCACATCAGTGTCATGTATTTAAATAACGTTTATGGATGGCTATAGGTGCAAAATTGTACAGTACAGCAGAAGCAAAGGTTTATATAAATGGTGAATTATCAGAAAGTATTAAATGTGAAAGAGGTGTAAGATAGGGATGTGCGGCATCCATGATTTTGTTTCTGATGTTTCTAAGACTGCTTACAAATAGGGTGATGGAAGAACCATTGATTGAAGCGGTATATTTCCCAGTATCAGATGAAAAAATAAAATATATAGGACATGCACATGACTTAAATTTTATAATAAGTAATAAACTATCATATGAAAAGGTAATAGAAATAACTGAAAAATATTGCTTAATGACTGGAATGAAGATAAATAAACAGAAGAGTAAAGTTTGTAATATGGTAGGAGAGATAATCAAAGACTCTGAAATACCAATAGTTAAAAGTCTAAAAATTTTAGGAATAATTTTTGAAAAAGATGCAAGAAGACAGAATTTAAATAAAATGAAAAATAACATAAAAAAAGTTAAAGAACAGTGGAAAATGAGAAGTTTATATCTGCCAGAAAGAGCAATGATAGCAAAAAAAGGTGATAATAGCAAAGATTATTTATTTTTTATATGTAATTGATATGACAATAGAACAAATGAAGGAATTGGAAAGAGAAATATACAGATATATATGGAACAGAAGGTTTGAACCACTTGCTAGGAAAATAATGAGAAATAGAAAAGAAAATGGAGGATGGGAAATGCGTGAATTTGCAATGGCATTGCAGATATCATTAATAATAAATACAATAAAGAGTAAAATACATCCACTGTCAGAAGCAGGGCTTTGGAGCGGAGCTGGAGCTGGAGCATGGAGCAGGTGGAGCAATGGATTTTTACTCAGAGCAGGAGCGGAGCCGGAGCACGGAAATTTGTAGTGCTCCACTGCTCCGATATATATACAGTATATATTTAATATTTGAGACGATGAGAATGAAAGTGGCATAAGTTGTAATATTTACAAATGTTAAGAATACAATAATTGAACTAAAAAAAAGGTGATCACAAGCACAGATGAATTTTATATCCATTCCACATATGTCCCATGTGAAAGGTGGGAACCTCTCTCTCCAGTCTCCACTATCCCCTGACCAAGCTATTCCTTCCCCTTCACGACTCCCCAGTTCTCTGAATTCTTAACGATCGCAGATGTGGAGTTAATGGGAAGGGGTGCTAATGAGTAGCAGATTTTAAACTCTGTTTACAAGTGGCTTTAGTCATTAGCACTTTACTAGAAATTTACCACTAGGAGCAGCACTAATATTCATTTCTTACATTTGATTTTGAATGTGACAGTCGTTCATTTCTGTTCGCAATCAGTTTGTTATAATCGTATATCATATTTTATAATTTGTTTGCAGAGGTAAGATTATTATTATTATTTGGTTATTTTGTATGCACGAATTGTTTATATGCGTAATTTCTCAATTAATAACACTTAATTATTTGATTATTTAAGCCATGGCGTCAAACCAAAATTTAAAACCATCACCCATGATAGACAGTCGATTTACAGAAGAAGAGCTTAAAGAGATATTCGTATTTCAATACGATAATGGAAAGAAAAAATCAAGATGGAACACATGCAAGATGGAACACATTGTAAATGGCGAATCTATACAATGTAACTTCAAGGCAAGTGGAACTAGTGTGTCGAAAAAGTTCAATCTTTGGCGTCATGTGAAGCGTAATCATCCTGAAATTTATGAAGGGTTAGTTAAAAAGAAGGATCAACAAGACGAAGTTGCTGCAAGAAGAAAACATAATCATGACAATCTTTCCAATGCACTTTCATATCATAAGAAATGCAGAACTGATCAACCAAAAATTGATAAATATTTTACATCATCGAAGATTACAATCACTATGGATAGCAATACTTTCCGCGAGGGACTTGTTGAAATGGTTTGTATGAGTATGACATCACTCGCTATGTTCACATTAAATAACAAAGGATTTCAAAAAATTGCTGGTGAAATGGCTCAGAAGCTTGGTGTTTCGATAGGACATGATGCTGTTCGTCATTTAGTAATAAGCACAGCAGAGTCTGCGCGCATCAATCTAAGACAAACTTTAAAAGGACAATTATGTTATTTAAAGCTAGATGCTGCAACCCGTGGAAATAGAAATTTTCTTGCCATCAATGTACAATTTTGGAATGAAAAAAACAAAAAAAACTGAAATAAAAACATTGGATATTGTCGATACTGGAGGAAGACATAACTCTTTATATGTGAAAAATCAAATTAAAGAAACTTTGAACAAATTTGAAATTGATGAAAAAGGAGTACTAAGTATTTGTGTAGATAATGCAGCAAGTATGACATGTGCTGTAAATAAACTTGGCGATCATGAAAATATTTTCCAGGATAAAGATGAAAAAACTGAAGACATCAAAGAAATGAATGTAGACATTTCGCCACAGTGGATTAACAATCCTTCCCTAATATTGCCAGCATGGACTAATGATAATTAATGAAAATTCATCTAATGAGGTGTGGGATTCACACTCTTCAACTGGCCATTTGGGATGGATTAAAGAATGAACGAATAACAAAAATACTAGGGAAAATTCGACGGGTTGTGGTAAAATTACGAACCCCAACAATTCGTAATGTTCTGCTGAAAATGTATGGTAAAACTTAATTCCTAGATACAGTAACAAGATGGAGTTCTACATATGCCATGCTTGATCGTCTTCTTTTTTTCAAAGACTACTGCGATCAAGTAGCTGCTGCTGGGACAAAACACCTAGAATTTAGCAAAGCAGAATGGGACGAAGTAAAACATATCAGAGCTGTTTTAGAAAAACCAAATATTTCGACAATTGCTCTTCAAGTTGCCAATCTTACTCCGGGGATGTTTATGAAAGAATGGTGTAAATTAGAAAAATGTATGGAAGAATTTGGAGGATATGTCGCGTTAGGAATTCTGTCTTCTATGAAAAAGCGGAAAGAAAAACTTATTCAAAACATACATTTTCTTGCTGGAGTGTATGTTGATTCTAGATATATAATCTTATTAAGTGCGGAAGAAAAACTAAAAGCAAGAGGTCTTTCAGACATCCAATGGCGAATTAAAAGGCAAACACTACTTGATTTGGCTGAAAAGCCAGAAATTGTTGAGCTGTCACAGCCAACCTGTGATATGATAAATATAGATTCGGAAGATGATGATTTTGAAAAGGAATTGGATAGAAGAGAAAACAGTCGTCGAATTTCCACTATACATAATAAAGATAACAACGAAATAGACAAACACGTTTAGAAAGACTTCAATGCAATAGAGGATGTGGGGAGATTAAAGGTGAATGTATTCAAACCATTGACCATTATCCAGAACGCATCAGAAAAGCATGCAGAGTCGCTTCAAGCATGCCAACTTCTCAAGCAAGTGTTGAACGTCTATTTTCCGGATTAAGATTGCTTTTAAGTGATAACAGGCAGTCAATGAAGGATGATTTGCTGTCTGCCATTTTATTTATTGAAATCAACGAGGTTGTATGTTAATTTTTTAATAATAAATTAGTTGTAAATGAACAAGTTTTTTTTATGCGTACTTATATACCAAAGACAAAATTAGTGTAATTCCTATAAGAATATTTTAATCGGAGCGTGGAGCGGAGTTGGAGCAAATACTTTGATACCGGAGCGGAGCTGGAGCGGAGCAACTCAAAAAAATGGTCGCCCCAAAGCCCTACCCTGTGATATGATAAATATAGATTCAGAAGAAGATAATTTTGAAAAACAATTGGATAGAAGAGAAAACAGTCATCGAATTTCCACTATACATAATAAAGATAACAACGAAATAGACAAACACGTTTAGAAAGACTTCAATGCAATAGNAAATTGCAAGCCTTTTTTTTCAGTTTACAGCAGTATTTATTACACAAAATTTAAGTAAAGCTTAACATGCCGATCTTGCCCAGGTCTCCCCTACATCACAACTCACGAGTTGTGATTTAATGATTCTGATTATCGCAACAGATTTTTATTAACTTCAAAACTTATATTAATACGATATAGGTACTGTATTTTGAAGAGTATAAGTCGCACTTACCTGTCGAATATAAGACGCACCATGATTTTGAGCCTTTTTGGGGCTCAAAATCATGGTGCGTCTTATATTCGACAGGTAACCGTTTTTATAGTGAAATTATCTACAGTAGTGGTCCACTCTAGGGACCAACCTGTGCAGTGATCCGTTAAGCACATGGTTCCTCAACCGAATGGCTAGAGTACCTAGATTAACAGAATAGCGACACACGAGTCATCGCCGCCATGTTCTGTCGACTGTCATCGCATGACCTCTGAGTTTACATTAAGAAATGACGATTGTTTCAGTTTAATAAAGGTATCGATTCACCCATTCGTCACATTCTTGAATAAAAAACGAATAAAATGCAATCTTCCATTAAAAAAAATTTTTCTAAATTTTCTATCTCAAAATAAGGGTGCGTCTTATACTCGACAGCGACTTATACTCGTCAAAATATGGTAGTTACTTATACTTCTCAAATATCTAATACAAGCTAAATGTATGACAGTTGAATCTTGAATGCAGTTCTTCATCTGCCCTCTGAATGTATAAAGTTTGAACTAAGTAACATGTAACTTACTTTGGATGTCCATTTCATTCGTGTTAAAATTTTCGTTTGGAGTGAAGAATTCATTGTTGACATACTAAACAATATGCAAAGAATCACTTATAATATACAAACCACTAACGAGTTGCTCAACTTTCCCGGCAATATTTCTAAATTTTAGTGGCTGTCTGTAATAAAACGTTTTTAAAATAAAATATGATATTTTTAACTATTATAGAAAGGAAAGAAATAAATGTCGAGGGTAAAAATGAGTAATAAAAAACTTAAATGCCCATAACGAGTAAAATCATCATTAAGTCCGATCCTACTAGAGATACACACGACCCCCATTATCTTCCCATCCTCTTGATTTTTAATTAGCAAAATTTAATAGCATCAATTTCTCTAATAATGAAACTTACCTGCAAAATTTCAGAAATTTTCGACATTTGATAGTGTTGTAAGTTTATGAATGTAAGTATCTTGAAGAGTCATTTTTTCGACCGATCGTCATACCTTTGTTATATATAAAAATTCAATAGGCATTTTACATCACTTGCAACAAAAAAAATTGAATAATTAAATAATTTCTGGATTAAAATCGTCTGATTCTTTACAGTGTTATTCACAAATGCTTGAATAATCATTATTTTAACAAAAATTAACCCAAAACACAGAAAAACCAAACGTTTAAGTCTAACTTCTACTCGCCACGTTCGACGTTCCAAACGCCATTGTCAAACTTTTAGGATTACAAGATGGCGGCGCTCGACGTTCGACGTTCATGTTTCAGCGATAAAAACTTCGGCCTCTCTATTATTTTCTTGTAATCAACTGCTACTTCACAACTAGATAAAATTACACATTGCAGTATTTATTAATTTGTTGTAGTCTGTGTTTATGTAATTAATGTCTTTATACTATCAGAAAAATAAATAAATCTGTTATTTTGTACTATCGTCGTTTCAATGGATCACAAAGTAAATTTCGCCAAGGGTTTCCTAAATCTTAGGTACGCCTGCATTTTCCGTAATGTTCCTCAACATGTGGCTGCATCCGTTGTGAACCTCACCAACCCATCGATTGGTCTGAAATAAAGACTCATTGTTTATTCTCTAATTTATCGTGCACAAAAACCAGAAATACATAAACTACCAAAAGTTTGAAACACTATAATTTATAAATATATAAATTTAATGTTAAAATCTGCTTTTTACTTTTAGAGATGTTATATATGCATAACAGGATAATGTATTGAAATCTGGTCTATTTTTATCCTCTGATTTTTTTCGAAATTTTCAGATCATCTACACCACGGGTTTCCAACCTATGGCTCGCGACCCAGAAGGGGGTCGCGACGGGCTTTCTGTGGGGTCGCCAACTTATACAGTAAACTAAAAAAAAATTATTTACTATAATGCAATTTTTATTTTTAATGGTGTCTTGAAGTTTGAATAATTTTATATATTTTTTAAAAACTAAAATAAGTGTAATTTAGGTACGCTATTCTGTCACAGTTGGTTGAAACATGTGTTGAGAGTTTGAGAGGAATAAATTAAATGTTGAGAATGACATGAGATTGGCGTTAACAAAAATTCACCCGCGAATTTTGAAACTGGTTAATAACATGCAATTTCAACCATCGCATTAAATTATTAAACAATTTAAAATAAAATTATAGTAAAAAAACTAATTTCCTTGTTTTTTTAATTACCTTATCAAAAATGCCTTTTTCAATTGTATCGGGGTCGCGGGACACTTGGCTTTTATAAAAAGGGATCGCCACCCGAAAAAGGTTGGGAACCGTTGATCTACACCGAAGAAACATGGAAATAAATTCCTTAAAAGTGTGTGTGTGTGGGCGTGTATTTTGACGTCTATTTCATTTAATATTTCAGAACAAATTGAGTATTAAGAACGAAATTTTGTACCATACGTTGTGTATATGGACATTATGGAGCACTAAATTTTGATAATTAAACGTGGAAGGATGAAGAGATAAAAAATGGTAACGTGTAAAATCTCGGATTTAATGAAGATTTTATTTATTGTTCGCATCTACAATTGTTTGTGAAATGCATTTTTTCATTTTATAATAATTAAATTTATAGAGAGTGTTTATAACTTATAACGCCTCAGACAATTTTACTTATTTATTACGATTAATAATATAAATATTATTTTTTAAATAAAATATTTTTACAGCCAGGAAACTTACGCAACTCGTTGTTAGATTTTTTCTTAAATACTACATATTTTTTTATTTAATACAGAATACACCATTATTCAAGTGATAATTTTATATTAGTGATATTCTGTACGTTTTTATGCATTCAAAAAGCTAAGTTAATATTAAAATTTTACTGTAAAATATTTCGAAATTTCTATTACTTACCAATACGTGTTCATCATCATCTGGGAGATGAAAAATTTCTTTATGATCTTCAGTCTTTACTTCAATCTTCAATTTTTTCAAAACAACTTTACATTCTGATTTTATACCATGTTTTACATCATAATTCTCTTTTACTTCTTTCTTGATATCTGAAGTGAAATTTACAAAGCTTTTGTGTTAAAGGATTCTAAGAAAAGCTTGAAATATGAAATAAAAGTGAGCATATTTTCATCAATTAACATAACACTATTAAATTACATGTTTCACTAAATCATTTATTTCTGATAACAAGCCGAAAACTAACGGTCACGGCAAATCGGTGTGATGTGTGATAGAAATGATAATAAATATAATTAGAAACTTCTATTCGTTATTAAATAAACCAGCAACGAGTGCTTAACTTTTCCGGAAACATTTAAAACTACGTGTGGCGCCATCTTATGATATTTTGTAAAGAAAATTTTTATATTTTAACTATTTTTATAAAATAAAGAAAACTTCTCTGTTATAAAAATGAGTTCTATAAAACAATTGTTAATGAGGAAATTAGTAAACTCGTCATTATCTCTGACCCTACTGAAGATACACACGACCCGCATTATCTTTTCAGCCCCCCGACCTTTAATCACAAAAACTTAAAAGCATCAATCCCATTAATAAAGAAACCCTTCTTCTAAATTTAAGAAATTTTCGACAAAAAAACGCTGTAATTATTAAACTGTAAAAAAGATTGAAGAAAATCATCGTGCCCCTCCACACACTGACTTCTATGTATACAAAAAAAAATCCCCGAAAATTTTTTTTTATTTTTCGACGTTTTAAGTTGTCTTAAATTTAAAAATGAAAATGTTCGAGGCGATTATTTTCTGACAGACTTCCCTTCTGTTATAGCCTATATAACAGCCGAGAAAGTAAAACTTAGTTAGTGTTAAATAATCAGGGATTTAAAATGTTTCAATTTGAAATTTACAATTTATTGTCGTAAATGTTGTAAAATATCACGAAGACGTTATGTTAATCAATCAAATTTCGATATTCTGGTGTATTTTTATTTCTGAACGTTCTGACCCTCAACTATAGAACAAACATATAAAACACCTCATAAAATTCTATTTCCGACTTCGAGGATGCAATAGATCAAAACTGACAAACAAGTGATAAGGAATAACTAGACTTTATTATTATTATTATTATTTCATTATTGATACAATCCAAATGCATTTCTCCATCAGGCCTCTTCAGTGGATACATCCTACTTTATGTCTGAAAATTCAGATGTACGGTACGATGTACAGTACAGGGCGTTACGTATCTGTGTGTCACTCCTTCACACTTCCAATCATATATAGGCTAATACATAAATGTATATGCAATAAAAACTTCTTTCGACACAACTAATGTATAAGTATAAACTAAGAGTTCAAGGATTTATTTTCATATGCATTCTTGGTCAAGAAATATCCTGTCCTCATGGCATTCCAACATTCCTTAGAAACACATATTGCTTGGTACATAGGTCAACAGATAACATTTAATGCGTGATTAATACAGTCCCTATCCAATTAGAAGTGGTTTCAGGGTGATTTCCTTGAATCTTAAATAGATATTATATGCACAAGTACTTAATATCTAAGGTAAAAAATAAGTTGAATAGAGCTAATGAATGATAAGTTTATGTTACGAGTTTGCTAACGATGAATAATTTATTTCCACTGTTGTACCGGGACTCATAAGTAATAAAAAATGTGTAGTGCTATGGTAATGCACATAATTATTTTGAGTTTGATTTGAAAAGAAACAAAATCCGGCAGAGTTACGAAACTTTATCAGAATAATGTTACAATGGGTTATGAGGCCATCTGTTATGAGATTTTACGTAAAAAGTCGTTTTATATTATTATTTAAAAATGGCGAAAGGCTGAATTTTGAAAGTAGAAATGCATTTTATTTAGTAGACTAGGAGATGAGCCCGGCGTTGCTCGGGCAAAAAGTAACGATAGCAAAGATTAAGATTATTAGATTATAGCCGATCTTACTTTAGAGGGGAGAACTTAATTAAAATTAAAACGCAAGATAAACGAAAAAAATCCGCTTTTAAAATAGTACACAAGAAGGGATTTTACGAAAAATAGTACTAAGAAGTAGTGATGGGAAAAATTTTGTAAATATCGATGTGTCGATATATCGATAATCCACAAAGCCGATAATGATATTATCTAATATCATCAAAAAAATATCGATATATTGGAAAATATCGGACTAAGCTGGGAATTTTGACTACTAGGGTTAAAATTTTGCCTTGCAGGTTTAAAAATCATAACAGGGAAGGGTATCTTAAAAAGGTACTTAAGTTAAATCCTCGTGCGAAGAAACATACATAACATTTCTTTCACTTTTACTTTTAACAGCGTGAGAATCCAACCCAGCAATACTGTAATGCACTGGACCCAAAATTTGCAAAAAAAAAAGATAATAATGAACTCAGAAATTACCAAATACCACTACACACACAATTGCATTACGTAACTTGTTTGTTTGTTTATTATTTTTACGATTTTACTCGATACATTTTAAACTCTGTATTACTTAGCCTACTAACTTAATATGTTGTAATAAACCATTTCTCGGAGAGGGATGATAAAAACGTTAGCTTTGCAAGGATTGAGCTTGCAAGCCTGTTTCGTCTCGTCGTCATAATGAGACCCACTTTAGAAAACAATCTTTCCGACGGAACAGAGCTTCCTGGGATACAGTAATACTGGTCTGCTAGCTTCTTCATATTTGGAAATATGGCAGACAAATGTTCCCATTCTTTTAAGGGGCAGCATTTATGGTCTAACAAATTTTGATTTAAGTACTGTTTTAAGTCTGTAACCAAGCTACCTGAGTCTCCCTGCGTTTCAGTGCCTGTCTGCTTTGCAGCTAGACAGGTGTGGAAGCTCCAGATATCGTCACTGTTAGCAGTCTGTACTAACCTATCTTGTAACTGATGCTTGTCCCCTTCATTATTTGTTCTCGAAATATCTTGTAGGGTCTCATTGATGTGAGATATTGCTTGTGAACAAGCTAATGGCGAATTAAAATGCAGCCTTTTAAATCGTGGATCAAGTATAGTAGAAATGGCTAGCAAGTAGTTGCTTTCGGCATCCTTAAAATAGTGTGCCAGGGAATTCAACATGGCAACCTGAAAATTTTTTCCTACTGTTTCCATAGGAGTTCTGGCAGCTGTGGCTTTGGTCATACAGCTTATCATTGGCAGTATAGAACTGACTGTAATATATTTTTCACCTGATATCTGTTTCGTCAGCTGATCAAATGGTTTCAAAATATCGATCACTTCTCTTAGTACTTGAAGATTGTATGCAGAAATCATACGAGGTGCACTGTGAAAACTTAGTAATACTGCACTTACATCATGACTTAGTTCTACAAATCTCGCCAACATCTCTAGAGTAGAGTTCCAGCGTGTTGGCACAGATTGTTTCAATTTTATTTTCTTCGATTTATTTTGAGCCTGAATGCTTTTTAATTTTTCTGATGCTACAACTGAATGTTTAAAATACTTTACAATATCTTTAACCTCTAAAATTATAGCATGTAAATCCTTTGTTTCTTCCACTGCCTTTACAGCAACCAAGTTTAAAGTGTGCGCAAAACAGCGTAAGTGTTTGTCTCGCCCAAATAAATCCTTCACAGCTTTAGAAACATTGGCACCGTTGTCGGTTACAACAGCCATAACCTGATGTTTCTCGATTCCCCACTCATCACACATTGATTGTAAAATCTCACTTATATAATCAGCAGTATGCCTGTCTTGCAATTCTTTAACTCCTAACGCCACCGACTCAAATTCACTACCATCTATGAAATGGCATGTAAGAGACATGTGACTTGTATTATTGTAAGTATCAGTCCATATATCAGTTGTTAATGAAAGATGTTGGACAGTAGAAATTTTCAAGCGAAGTAAAGCTGACACAGCCTTATACTTTTCCTCAATCATTTCA